AATCATCGAAACAATAATAATTATTAATTGTCAACAAAACCTATTTATATTAAAATGATTAATAATATATTTTATTTTTAGTTGAAGGCATGCAATTATGTTTGAAGTATATATAGTTGAAGCGATTAAGTTTAAAATATTTAGATTTATTGTTACGTGTTATTTGGCGTTTGTCTCTACTAACCCCAAATCAACATCATAACAGGTTGAAATGATAATTTTTTTCTTCGAGAAGGTATGCGATTTTTTTTTTATTCAGCCTCTCACCAAACTTCGTTTAATTTTGCTCATTTTTGAGGAATACAAAACTGGATACGGCGTTCGGCCACTCGATACACCCCCGTCTCACACATGCGCGTAGACGTGAAAGCCAGACAATCAAAATTTTAAAGACAAATTTGTGTTAATCACCAGGTATATTCAAAGCCAAAAAGGTGTTAAAACTTCATTAAAACTTCATTTTACAATTGAAATGGCTAGATGGAACCGTAAGTTCTATGCTAACAGTTTCTTCAATCGCACTTCTCGCTTGTGGAGATCTCTTCTGTTCTTTCTTTTGTTCCCAATCGGATTTTATCTCTAAAATTTGTATGCAATGTCAATCGTTTTCTTTTTCTTTTTTTCTTTTTTTTTCATTCTCATTATTTTATTGTTATCGCTTCTTAATACCTTTTTCCCATATTCTCTCTCGTAGCTTTATCGTACCTCAAACAGCTTTACAAACGCCTCACAGCAATCAATACTCTGAAAACGAAATTCTGTTAATTCTTATTCTTTTATTGTTCTTGCTCCCTAATAACGTTTTTCTTCATTCTCATATTCTCTCACACTTTCATGGATTTTCACTCATTTGTGGCCTTGCTCGGGATGAAATGATTGAATAGATAAATAAACACCCTCAATCGGAGACCCCTCTCTACGTGATCTGAGTTGCACGACCATATGGTTGTTTTTTTATTATTTTTTTTTTCTAACTTGGCCCCTCCTGTATGTTTCTACGCTGTATTTATCAAAACCTATCACCTCATTATATCCATTTGACTGAGTTTCGGTTTTGTATATTTGTAACACATCGTCATGTTATGACCTGTTACTGCACCAAGTATCCCTTTCATCGCTTATCATCTTAAATGACTGTAAATTTTTTATGCACATTTGGCTATGCTGTATATATCCTTATGGACGTGTGGTCAGAATATTCTGACCATGAGATGCGTGTTCGAATCTTGCGATGGTCGATCTGTAAGGAAAGAGACTTCCTGATGTTATCGGACTGGATCGAAGATGACCCCAGCGTACGGCACCTTTGGAAAATGCCTCAAAACCATACCATGGATTGACCCAAGCCTTGTGAGTGAAATTAGGAAGCCGGAACTCTTGGTGGGGTTGGCCGTCGATAGCTGTGCTAGCACGAAGCCACAAGTCATCGTGGCCGAGAGCTTGAGCGTGCTGGCCTTATTCAAATTCTAATCACGCTAGATAACACGCTCTCTCCCAGAAACTGTTACTAAGGTCTTCTCAGCATAGTTGCTGTATAAACCACATGTGGTCTCTGCGGGTGTTGAGCAAACACAAAAAATCTGCCTGAGCGAGCGTCTGCAATAGGGATTGGCTAGCTGCCCTTGTAGATGGGTATCCTCGAATACGAATGGCCAGCTTTTATTATATATCCTTATCATTCTGGGCGCCATGCTTAGCTGTGTAGTTTTGTACCCTAGAGTCATTTAGTAACTTTCACTGGATAATGGTAAGGATTCCTGAGAACCGGGCGAACCTTCCTCCTGCTTCTTATCCTTGCGTTCTTTTATTAACGGAATGATTTGATTTAACGCCTTTCTTGCTTCCTTCGAGGGAACCACTCAGTCCGAGAATCTCGTTACAATGTCCGCTTGTTGCCGAGGAAGAACTTCCATTTTTCTTGTTGTCTCTTGCACTAAAATCGTCCGCGCAAAGAAAGAGCTTTAAGTGTTGAAAAGAATTTTGTACGAAAATAAAAGAAATGACTGTCGCCGTCGACGCCATAGATGAATTCTTCCACGGGGAACGGAAGCAATTAATTCGTCAGCGTCTCCCTTTCCGGTTAACACCTTTCTATAGGCAAAATACAGCCTTCTCTATCACGACTGCGATGAAGCTTTTCACCCCGAGCTTACGGAATATGACTTCCCTTTTCTCGGGGAAAATTCAGTTAACATTTAATCTGTTTTCTGTAGACCTTCCTTCAATTTTAATCCAGAGACGAACAATCATCGATATATAAGATAGGGGGTGCTGAAAATTTCCGGGCACAACCAAAGAGTAATTTTTAAAATGTTTGATTGGATTTGTAAATAGTTTATTAAACCTTGAATATTTTCACCATCAATATATATATATATATATAGTTAAACCTAGAGAGCCAGACAAACCGACCAAGGTTTCACCTAAGCGGATCGTCAGGGAAGGCCGGCTTTCCTGACGATCCGCTTAGGTGAAACCTTGGTAGGTTTGTCTGGCTCTCCGGGTTTAGCTAGGCCTGCTCTACTTACTGTATTGAGCACTTTATTTAGTTATTTTGCTTACTCGTATCGTTTTTTTTTTCTTTGGGCTTTGGACTTGGATGCTAGACGATTATTTTCGGCTAACGTACATGTTTTTGTTTCTTTCTTTTTTTTATACCTTTTTTTTCCTTTTTGTATTGGTTTGGTTATTTGCAAATCAAGACACCGAAGGTTCTCCGGACGAGTATAATTTCTTATACTTATAAGATTATTACTACTAATACATACATACATACATACATAGTCATACATTATGAAATGGACAAAGTCCGACAATTATTTTAAGACATTTTTATGTTTATACATTCTTTTTATAGATACAAATATTTAAGTAAACGCTCTGTTTATAATAAACAGTATTAATAACCTTTTCCTTAATGTCCGAGAAATTTTCATAGAAAATATTCGTCCTCCGACAGAAATCGAACCTGTATCCTATACAGAACCGTCATATAGCCTGACGTGCCTTAACTGATTGGGCCACAGAGGATCGTTCGGTTAGCAAATTCGATTTTCCTGCTTATAAACTTCAATTTTCCATGAATTTCTCACGTACATTCATATCTGCTCAATGCGTATCCAAATGTAAACAAATGACGTCACACATTATGAAATGGACAAAGTTCGACAATATGACGGTTATTGGGAACCACTGCCCTATTCGTGTGTGGTAGGGTAATATATATATATATATATATATATATATATATATATATATATATATATATATATATATGTATGTATGTATGTATTTTAAGACATTTTATGTTTATACATTCTTATTATAGATAGAAATGTTTAGGTAAATGCTCTGTTTATAATAAGCAATATTAAACAACATTTACCGGCCTGAATGTCCGAGAAATTTTCACAGAAAATCTTCATCCTCCGACAGGATTCGAACCTGTATCCTATACGGAACCATCATTTAGTTTGACGTGCCTTTACCGATTTGGCCATAGAGGAGCGTTCGGTTAGCAAGCTTATCTGCTCATGGCGTATGAAATGTAAACAAATGACGTCACACATTATGAATATATATATATATATATATATATATATATATATATATATATATATAAATATATATGTATATATATATATATATATATATATATATATATATATATATATATATATATATATATATATATATTCGTGTTCCTATATGCTAATAAATAACAGTTCTTAAAAATATGCTGATACATTTTCTGAAGATTATTATTTCCGTTTCTCACTGGGTGTGTGTTTGTGTGTGTATCGATGTATATTGTACGTACATGTCCGTCTCCACGTTTCCAAGAAACTCTAAATGTGCCAATCTTTGATGCTACGACGGTACCAAGGCAAATTAAACTCATAAACTTAATTCATGATCTTCTCCAGCTGAATAAACATGGCTGTCAGCCAGGAGGCGCATGCGCAATTCTCCTGGCACGAACTTGAAAAAGAAAAAGACGTAGGTTGAACCCAAACCATTTTGAGTGTTTTTCAACATTTCGCTTGTAATTCATGTTCGCACTTAAAGAAAAAAAAATTAATTAAATCGAGACATGCATAAAAGCTATTTAAAAAATTAACATCAATACAAAAATTATTTTATGACAAATGGAGAAACACAGGTCCATATTAGCCACTCCTCGTAGCACAATCATCACGGGCTAAAATCTGTGGTATGATGGACAGAGAAATATATTTCATATTTTACTTCATGTTTCTTAGATAGATAGATAGATAGATAGATAGATAGATAGATAGATAGATAGATAGATAGATGGGAAGGAAGGAAGGAAGGATCCGAAATGACTAGAAAGATAGAGACAGACTGGGATATATAGACAAACGGACTGACAGAAGAAAGAAAGAAACAAAGTAACAAAGAAAGAAAAAAAAGAAAGGAGAGAGAAAGGAAAGAATAAACCGAAAGGCTTAGAAAGATAGATAGATAGATAGATAGATAGATAGATAGATAGATAGATAGGAAGGAAGGAACCAAAAGTCGTAGAAAGAAAGAAAGATGAAAAAGTATCGATAACAAAGATAGAAACCTAAAAGAAAGAAAGAAAGAAAGAAAGAAAGAAAGGAACAGACTTGGATAGAAAGAAAAAATGAAAGAAAGAAAGATAAGCTAATAATTTCAAAGAAAGAAAATTCAAACTTGTGAAAGATGACAAAACAAAAAAATCTAATCAAAAGAAATATAGATAGAAAGAAAGAAAATCTAAAAGGAAAAAGAAAGAAAGAAAGAAAAAAGAAAGAAAGAAAGAACGGAGGAAGGAATAAAGAAAGGCGTAGAATGATAGAAATAGACTGGGAGAGGTAGATAGATAGATAGATAGATAGATAGATAGATAGATAGATATTAGGTTGGTGCAAAAATAATGACGTAAAAATGTCGTTTTTTGACGTATTTTTTAACGTCAAAAAACGACATTATTACGTCATTATTTTTGCACCAACCTAATAGATAGATAGATAGATAGATAGATAGATAGATAGATAGATAGATAGATAGATAGATTCGACACTTTGACCTTTCAAACATGAACACTAATCAGAAAATACCGTTGGTTATATTATCATTCTATTTTGCGAGACCAAATTCTTTGAGCATTTCAATTTTCCGTATTGGCTTCTTTTGCCTAAAGAATATTGCAAAGACCTGATTTTGTTGTTGACCCGTAACAATGAATTCACCTCAAGAGTTCCGATCATGATAAAGGAGCCATTTTAATAGAATTGAAGCCACAGACTCTCAGCTAATTTCTGAGAGGAAGGAAGGACAAAAAAAGGAAGGAAGGAAGGAAAAAGAAAGAAAGATTGAATAAATGAAAGGAATAAAAAATGATAGGAAAATAGAAAAAAATGAAAGAAGACGAAGTAAAAGATAAAAGAAACAAATAGCGACACAAATAAAGAAAGAAAGAGAGAAATCGTGGTAAAAGAAAGAAAGAAAGAGAGAAATCGTGGTGAAAGAAAGAAAGAAAGAAAGAGAGAAATCGTGGTAAAAGAAAGAAAGAGAGAAATAGTGGTAAAAGAAAGAAAGAAAGAGAGAAATCGTGGTAAAAGAAAGAGAGAAATCGTGGTAAAAGAAAGAAAGAAAGAGAGAAATCGTGGTAAAAGAAAGAAAGAAAGAAAGAAAGAGAGAAATCGTGGTAAAAGAAAGAAAGAAAAAGAAAGAAAGAGAGAAATCGTGGTAAAAGAAAGAAAGAGAAAAATCGTGGTAAAAGAAAGAAAGAAAGAAAGAAAGAGAGAAATCGTGGTAAAAGAAAGAAAGAAAGAGAGAAATCGTGGTAAAAGAAAGAAAGAAAGAGAGAAATCGTGGTAAAAGAAAGAAAGAAAGAAAGAAAGAAAGAAAGAGAGAAATCGTGGTAAAAGAAAGAAAGAAAGAAAGAGAGAAATCGTGTAAAAAGAAAGAAAGAAAAAGAAAGAAAGAGAGAAATCGTGGTAAAAGAAAGAAAGAAAGAAAGAGAGAAATCGGGTAAAAAGAAAGAAAGAGAGAAATCGTGTAAAAGAAAGAAAGAAAGAGAGAAATCGTGGTAAAAGAAAGAAAGAAAGAGAGAAATCGTGGTAAAAGAAAGAAAGAAAGAGAGAAATCGTGGTAAAAGAAAGAAAGAAAGAAAGAAAGAAAGAAAGAAAGAAAGAGAGAAATCGTGGTAAAAGAAAGAAAGAAAGAAAGAGAGAGAAATCGTAAAAGAAAGAAAAAAAAAAAGAAAGAGAAAAATCGTGGTAAAAGAAAAGAAAGAGAGAAATCGTGGTAAAAGAAAGAAAGAAGAAAGAAAGAAAGAAAGAAAGAAAGAAAGAAAGAGAGAAAAAGAAAAGAAAGAAAGAAAGAAAGAGAGAGAAATCGTGGTAAAAGAAAGAAAAGAAAAAGAAAGAGAGAAATCGTGGTAAAAGAAAAGAAAGAAAGAAAGAGAGAAATCGTGGTAAAAAGAAAGAAAGAAAGAGAGAAATCGTGGTAAAAGAAAGAAAAAGAAAGAAAGAGAGAAATCGTGGTAAAAGAAAAGAAAGAAAGAGAGAAATCGTGGTAAAAAGAAAAGAAAGAAAGAGAGAAATCGGGTAAAAGAAAGAAAGAAAGAAAGAAAGAAAGAAAGAAAGAAAGAGAGAAAGAAAGAGAGAAATCGTGGTAAAAGAAAGAAAGAAAGAAAGAAAGAGAGAAATCGTGGTAAAAGAAAGAAAGAAAGAAAGAGAGAAATCGTGGTAAAAGAAAGAAAGAAAGAAAGAGAGAAATCGTGGTAAAAGAAAGAAAGAAAGAAAGAGAGAAATCGTGGTAAAAGAAAGAAAGAAAGAGAGAAATCGTGGTAAAAAAAAGAAAGAAAGAGAGAAATCGTGGTAAAAGAAAGAAAGAAAGAAAGAGAGAAATCGTGGTAAAAGAAAGAAAGAAAGAAAGAAAGAAAGAAAGAAAGAAAGAGAGAAAGAAAGAGAGAAATCGTGGTAAAAGAAAGAAAGAAAGAAAGAGAGAAATCGTGGTAAAAGAAAGAAAGAAAGAAAGAGAGAAATCGTGGTAAAAGAAAGAAAGAAAGAAAGAAAGAAAGAGAGAAAGAAAGAGAGAAAAAATCGTGGTAAAAAAAGAAAGAAAGAAAGAAAGAGAGAAATCGTGGTAAAAGAAAGAAAAAGAAAGAAAGAGAGAAATCGTGGTAAAAGAAAAAAAGAAAGAAAGAAAGAGAGAAATCGTGGTAAAAGAAAGAAAGAAAAAAGAAAGAAAGAAAGAAAGAAAAGAAAAAGAGAAATCGTGGTAAAAGAAAGAAAGAAAGAAAGAAAGAGAAAATCGTGGTAAAAGAAAGAAAGAAAGAGAGAAATCGTGGTAAAAGAAAGAAAGAAAGAAAGAAAGAGAGAAATCGTGGTAAAAGAAAGAAAGAAAGAAAGAAAAAAGAAATCGAGAGAAATCGTAAAAAGAAAGAAAGAAAGAAAGAGAGAAATCGTGGTAAAAGAAAGAAAGAAAGAAAGAAAAATCGAAAAAAGAAAGAAAGAGAAAAATCGTGGTAAAAGAAAGAAAGAAAAGAAAGAAAGAGAAAATCGTGGTAAAAAGAAAAGAAAGAAAAAAGAAAAAGAAAGAAAGAAAGTGAGAAATCGTGGTAAAAGAAAGAAAGAAAGAAAGAAAAAAAGAAAGAAAGAAAGAAAGAAAGAAAGAAAAGTAAAAGAAAGAAAATCTCGTCATTTGATCAGTTTTTGAGGAACGTGGAACGACCTCTTAATTGCTGGTGTTCCCATTTCCACCCTGACCCGGTGTGGTAGCACCTATTAGGGTCCTCGCCATGGGCAAATATTTAACACGCAAAGTGGGGACAAAACACTATGAAAGTCTAAAATTAGGTTTTAATACCAGCAATACATTTTTTGTAAAAGATTAAGAAAAATTAATTTTGAAGGAAAAATTATTACTAGCAATTGAAAAAAAATGTGTTGCCGGCATGAAATAACCCATTGAAGTGTTGATATGCCGTAAGACACACGAAACCAAACAAAAAAAACTGAATAAAACCTGGAAAGAAAGAAAGAAAGAAAGAAAGAAAGAAATGGTGAAAACTGCAAGATAAAATAAAATTTAAAACGACTGACAAAAATATTTATTAAAATGAATTACTCAATGAATGAAAAAAAAATTGAAATTATTAATGTCTAGCGGAGTAAAAGAAAGAAAGAAAGAAAGAATGGTGTTAGAAAGAACGAAAGAAAAAAGAAAGAAAGAAAGTATGGTGTTAGAAAGAAAGAAAGAAAGAATGAATGAAAGAAATGGTGAAAACTGCAAAATAAAATAAAATTTAAAACGACTGAGGAAAAGATTTATTAAAATGAATTAATCAATGAATGAAAAAATATTGAAATTACTAATGTCTAGCGGAGTAAAAGAAAGAATGAAAAAAAGAAAGAAAGTATGGTGTTAGAAAGAAAGAAAGAAAGAAAGAATGAAAGAAAGAAAGATAGTAATGCGTAAAATTGCATGATAAAATTATTAAAAAAAAAATAAAGACTGTCGAAATCAGTTATTAAAAAGAAAAAAACAAACCGACGAACAGACAGAGATTCATAACAGAAGCAAAGAAGAGGAGGCGAAATGTAAAGGAATTAAACATAGGAAATGCAAGAGAAGGAACAAAAAGAGAAAATGAGAGACAAGCCATAAAAAAAAAGGTAAAAGAGAAAACAGAAGGACGTGTGAAAGAAACAGATAAAGAAAATGTGCTTTTCTTTTCCATGAAGCCATTAAGCATCAAAAATAAAACAACGAAACAAAGAAGAAATAGAAAAGAAAAGAAAAAAAAAGTGAAGCAAAAAGAAAAAGAACGAGTAAAAAGAAGGGTGAGGGGAGGAGAGAGAAAATATGAAAAGAAAAGAAAGAGACAAGATGAAAGTGAAGTCAGTGCTATTCTTTAGGAAAACCTTAAAACCTTAATTAAAATTCAAAGGCGGAAGTGAATAGAGCCAATGAAAGATCTGTACTGAAAAAAATATTGCAAGGAACTGAAAAAGACATTTATTTGAATTAAGATAAATTGCTAAAGGCGACTAAATTAACAGTTTTGCTTTTGTTACTTTTTCTGGGTTTTTTTTTATTCAAATTTTGTTTCTTTTTTTGTTTTGTTTTTTTTTTTTTTTTTACTCTTCTCACAAAATTTTTTTTTGGCAAATATCGAAAGCAAATAAGCTGGCGGCTTACATTCATGTCTTGATAAAAGAAAGAAATCGTCCTGTACGGGATTTTTACGTCACTAAATTAATTAAGTTAATATAAAAGATTTATGGCACATTTTTAGAAAAAAAAAAGAAAATTCGTTTATCTATACATAGTTTCTATTTATAGAATTTAAATTATAACTCTCCACAAATACCGTATATCAACGTGTATAAGACGAATGCCTGTAGTGATTTCCAAGCGTAGCTCAGATGTGGCACAAGACCGAAAGTATGGGGGAACCCAATGAGGATCGAACTCACTTTTCAGTTGTAACTGATCTAGCGAGACAAGCTTGCTAACCATTACACCACCCCGAGGTGCCTAAATTATTTATAGCTATTTTCCAAGCATAGCTTAGACGTGGCACAAGGCCGAAAGTAAGGGGCACCCGGTGAGGATTGAACTCACTACTCAGGCGTAATAGTTCTAGCGAGACAAGCTTGTTAACCATTACACCACCTCGAGGTGCCCAACGAATGCCGTTTAGTGCAACCAGTGAATTTTAACCCATGCCAAAAAAAAAAAAAAAAAAAAAAAAAAAATGGCTGTGTATCAATGCAACCGGTCACTCAAAGTGCATGATTTTTAAACTCTTCAAAAAAATTTACCACCAATTTTGGGGTGTAAAGAAGCTGACCATAAACACTCGTACTGTACTCGACTATCCACGGTAACCACGTCTCCGATGGCAAGGCTGGTTTTGATGATTACCGATTGTGAAGAAGGTGATCGAATTTCGTCTTGCGGCATATAATCCCACCAACCGACGATAAACTACATCCAACATCAAGGTCTCTGTTCAGGAGGTTTTGAGAAGTGCAGAACCAACTGTAAAATAGGTTTTAATACCAGCAATATATTTTTGTAAAAAAAAAAAAAATTACAAGCAACGAATTTTTGAAGGAAAAAAATATTATCACCAATACATTTTTGAAAAAAAAAAAAATATTGCAAGCAATACATTCTTTAAGAAAAACATACTACCAGCAATATATTTTTTGAAAAAAAAAGTATTAACAGCAATACATTTTTGAAAAAAGAAATATTACTAGCAATAAAATTCTAGTCGGCATTAAATAACCCATTGAGGTTGATATACCGTAAAATAAACAGACGTAACATGACTAATTTTCTATACGCAGGACACGTGGACTCATTGAAAAAGGCATGAAAGCCAAGATTCGCAGTCATGTTTACTTCTTCGTTATGCCATCTCCCCTCAAGACGTGGGTGATTATGGCTCTCCACAACTTCCTCTTCTTTATAACTCTTATTAATTCTTAAAAATATTTTTATTGTCACATCTAATCCCTAATCTCGTTAGATAAATTATTTACATTATTCGGAGTATTGTCCTCATCTTTGTTGCCATATTGATCACAACGTTTCAGCCGTTGTACGCTCCGGCCTTCTTCAGGTGGTTGGATTGTCGAACTGAACCCTTTGTTTTGCTCGCTGGTGTAGACTGTTCTAGTTCCACGTGCCATGTCTCATGGATGTCAGTTGTCAGTTATCGCCTGTTAATTCGCCACACCAAGTTCTCCACTGCCTTAACCACTGCCTTTGGGTCCTGTCACTGGATCTAACCAACGCCTTTATCCACTGTGCCATGTGCCCTTGAGGACATCTGTGCATGAATTTCTGGGTATTATAAACCTAATGTCTTCAGCAATCATTTTTTACCAGTCTTCATATTGCAATTTTTGCTGTTATCATTACATGTTTTTTTACCAGAGCTCATATTGCAATTTCCATTGTTACTATCGCTTTTCTCTGGCATTCTTTGTTACTGGTTCCCATATTGTATTCATTACTATGCTTGGTCGGCCGAAGCGTTGTAATAGATATGGCGACAAAAATTAGGAAAATAGTCCGAATAATGTAAATAGTGTACATAATACCACATCTCATAAATATAGACATAAACTTATTAATTGTTTTCTATTGTCTCTCTTGACTTCAGTATTCCTGTGAGTGTCAAATTTTCCACGCCCTTCTTCCTCATTAAGCGCCTAAGTAATTTCAATGGTCCATTTTTAATTCTAATTATTATTTTCGTTTCTATTTTTCCCAGAACTTTGTCGCAGTTCTCACGTTCAGCCCATGGTATTTCCAGTCTCCTTCTGTAGAGTTACATTTCTGTTTCTTCATGTCTCTCCATCATGTGTCAGATTGTCCAGCATACACTGCCACATAGGAGGGTCGATATTACATAACGATTCAGATAGACAGAAGGATAGAAGGAAAGAAGAAAAGAAGGAAGAAAGGAAAGAAAGAAAGAAGGAAGAAAGAATAAAGCGCAATGCGTAGTGAGAAATATAAAAAGACTGATAGATAGATAGATAGATACATACATAGATAGATAGATAGATACGAACAGACATTGGTAGATAGATAGATAGATACGAACAGACATTGGTAGATAGATAGATAGATAGATAGATACGAACAGACATTGGTAGATAGATAGATAGATAGATACGAACAGACACAGATAGATAGATAGATACGAACAGACATTGGTAGATAGATAGATAGATACGAACAGACATTGGTAGATAGATAGATAGATGGAAACAGGCCTAGATAGATATATAGATAGATAGATACGAACAAACATTGGTAGATAGATAGATAGATAGATACGAACAGACATTGGTAGATAGATAGATAGATAGATAGATAGATACGAACAGACATTGGTAGATAGATAGATAGATAGATAGATGGAAACAGGCCTAGATAGATAGATACGAATAAACATTGGTAGATAGATAGATAGATAGATAGATACGAACAGACATTGGTAGATGGATAGATAGATAGATACGAACAGACATTGGTAGATAGATAGATAGATAGATAGAAACAGGCCTAGATAGATATATAGATAGATAGATACGAACAAACATTGGTAGATAGATAGATAGATACGAACAGACATTGGTAGATAGATAGATAGATAGATACGAACAGACATTGGTAGATAGATAGATAGATACGAACAGACATTGGTAGATAGATAGATAGATACGAACAAACATTGGTAGATAGATAGATAGATACGAACAGACATTGGTAGATAGATAGATAGATACGAACAGACATTGGTAGATAGATAGATAGATAGATAGAAACAGGCCTAGATAGATATATAGATAGATACGAACAGACATTGATAGATAGATAGATAGATGGAAACAGGCCTAGATAGATATATAGATAGATAGATACGAACAAACATTGGTAGATAGATAGATAGATACGAACAGACATTGGTAGATAGATAGATACGAACAGACATTGGTAGATAGATAGATGGAAACAGGCCTAGATAGATATATAGATAGATAGATACGAACAAACATTGGTAGAGTATTTACATTAGTCGGACTATTGTCCTCATCTTTGTCGCCATAACGTTTCGGCCTTCTTCAGGTGGTTGGAATTTCGATCGCTGGGGTAGACTGTTCTAATTCCACGTGCCATGTTTGATGGATGTCAGTTATCAGTTATCTCCTGCTAATTTTCCCTCCAAAGTTCTCCACTGCCTTTACCAGGAATTGAACTCACCTTCTTTGGGTCTCTCACTGGATCTAACCAACGCCTTTATCCACTGTGCCATGTGTCCTTGAGGATATCTGGGTATGAACTTCTGAGTATTATAAACCTAATGTTTTCAGCATCATTTTTACCAGTGCTCATATTGCAATTTTTTCTGTTATCATTGCATGTCTTTACCAGAGTTCATATTGCAACTTTGTTATCATTGCTTTTCTCTGGCACTCCTTATTACTGGTTCCCATATTGTATTTATTTCTATGCTTGGTCGGCTCAGGAGATTTTTGTGAAAAAATATAGAAAATATAGACAAACATTGGTAGATAGATAGATAGATAGATAGATAGATAGATAGATAGATAGATACGAACAGACATTGGTAGATAGATAGATAGATAGATAGATAGATAGATAGATAGATAGATACGAACAGACATTGGTAGATAGATAGATAGATAGATAGATAGATAGATAGATAGATAGATAGATAGATACGAACAGACATTGGTAGATAGATAGATAGATGGATAGATAGATGGAAACAGGTCTGGATAGATAGATAGATAGATAGATACGAACAAACATTGATAGATAGATAGATAGATAGATAGATAGATAGATAGATAGATAGATACGAACAGACATTGGTAGATAGATAGATAGATAGATAGATAGATAGATAGATAGATAATAGATACGAACATACATTGGTAGATAATGGATAGATAGATAGATAGATAGATAGATAGATAGATACGAACAGACATTGGTAGATAGATAGATAGATAGATAGATAGATAGATGAATAGATGGAAACAGGCCTAGATAGATAGATGAATAGATAGATAGATAGATAGATGATAGATAGATACGAACAAACATTGGTGAGATAGATAGATAGATAGATAGATAGATGAGATAGATAGATAGATAGATAGATAGATGAGACAGACATTGGTAGATAGATAGATAGATAGATAGATAGATAGATAGATAGATGGAAACAGGAAACAGATAGATAGATAGATAGATAGATAGATAGATAGATACGAACAAACATTGGTAGATAGATAGATAGATAGATAGATAGACACGAACAGACATTGGTAGATAGATAGATAGATAGATAGATAGATAGATAGAAACAGACCGAGATAGATAGATTGATAGATAGATAGATAGATAGATAGATAGATACGAACAGACATAGATAGATAGATAGATAGATAGATAGATAGATAGATAGATAGATATGAACAGACTGAGATAAGGACATATTTGTAAGAGAAAGTAACTGACTGACTTAATAACAGAATTTAAACAAGCAGGCTGGCAGCCACACAGATAAACTTATTTTAAAGGTTGTCTTTTCAATCAACTTCGCATAATATCCCTGGGGACTGATAGACATAGCGTATTTTCCGTATTGCTAAGACGCAGTTTTTCCTGAGAAACGCCCTGAAAGTTAAATCTCACCGTCAATCTCTTAGTCGATATTACATAATGGTTCAGTACTCTTTTCTTTTTCTTTCTAACAAAAATGTCCTGCTTCTTAATACTTTGCTTAGCTTTTGGAAGGCATCTTTCTCTTTTCGCGCCTTCGGATTTCGGTATCGCGTTTTCTGTCCTCAATTCAAACGCTTTCTAAATATGTCAATTTTTGTGTTTGCTTGACTGGCCTCTAATTCGTAATTCGCACCCCGGGCTCTTCCTTTCGCTGACAACCCCACATACATAAAATTGATGCATAGTCCTTTCTTCCAGCTTTCTGTATGAATTTCCGTGCTTCAATTTCCTCTGTCTACTATCAACACTGTGTTTTTATGAATCCTGGTAAGACTAATAATCCTCTCAGGATCACCTCCCAGTTTCGACTTACTGGGATCCTGGGTATGATAATAAACTACATCCAGCAGCAAGACAGGAGATTTTGAGAAGGGTGGAATCAACTGTTAATGGCTATTGTTCAAAGGCCCACCCTGGCCCGGGGTTGTAGCACCTTTTAGAAACACAGCTGTGTGTAAATAGTGGACCCCCAAGAAAAAACAAATCACTAAGAAAATATAAAAATAAAGTTTTATAGTAAAATTACAAACTGATACACTTTTATATAAACAAAATTACCAACAATACTTACTTATAGGACAATTACTAATAATACATTTTATTTGTAGTTGAAGGCGTACAATTACGTTAAAATATAATATATATATAGAGAGAGTTCAAACCATAAAATTGTATTCAAAATATTTAGATTTCGGTATTAAATAACCCATAGAGATGTCGATACGCAGCTCAACAAAAATAACCAACCAACAATACCTATTTATAGTAAAATGACCAAAAAATATATTTTATTTCTAGTTGAAGACATAAAATTAAGTTAAAAATATATTTAGTTGAAAAAATTAAAATTGTGTTCAAAATATTTAGATTTCGGCATTAAATAATGGAATAGAGTTTATTTCATTGACTGGTCGTTTTCCTTTCTTTCTTTCTTTTTTTCTTTCTGTCTTTCTTTCTCTCTTTCTTTCTTTCTTTCTAAGTCTCTTTCTTTCTTTCTTTCTTTCTTTCTTTCTTTCTTTCTTTCTTTCTTTCTTTCCAAGTCTCTTTCTTTCTTTCTTTCCAAGTCTCTTTCTTTCTTTCTTTCTTTCTTTCTTTCTTTCTTTCTTTCTTTCCAAGTCTCTTTCTTTCTTTCTTTCTTTCTTTCCAAGTATCTCTTTCTTTCTTTCTTTCTTTCTTTTTCTTTCTTTCTTTCTTTCTTTCTTTCAGGGCGTGGGTGATCATAGTTCTCCACAGTTAACCATCATTTTCCTTTCTTTCTTTCTTTCTTTCTTTCTTTCTTTCTTTCTTTCTTTCTTTCTTTCTTTCCAAGACACTTTCTTTCTTTTTCTTTCTTTCTACCAATCCAAGTCTCTTTCTTTCTTTTTTATCAATCCAAGTCTCTCTCTTTCTTTCTTTCTTTCTTTCTTTCTTTAATTTTTTCTATCTTTCTTTCTTTCCACGTCTCTTTTTTCTTTCTTTCTTTCTTTCTATCTATCTATCCAAGTCTGTTCCTCTCTTTCTTTCTTTCTTTCTTTCTTTCTTTCTTTCTTTCTTTCTTTCCATGTCTTTTTCTTTCTTTCTTTCTATTATCTAAATTTCTTTCTTTCTTTCTTTGTTTCTTTCTTTCTTTCTTCCAATGGTCTTTCGTTCATTTTTTTTTCGCCCTTCTTTCATTTATTAGTCGTCGTCTTTCTTTTTTGTTTGTTTATTTGTCTGTTTCTTCCTTCCTTTCTTCATCCCTTCCTTTCTTCTTTCCTTTCTTTCTTCTTTCCTTTCTTCCTTCTTCATTCTTTCATGCTTTCTTCCTTCATTCCTTCATTCCTTTCATTCATTCATTCTTTCTTTCTTTCTTGAGAAGCGTGGAACCACCTCTTAATTGCCTTTGTTCCCAGCTATTAGCAAAAAAAAAAACGAAATCCTATGAAAATATAAACAAATAATTATAGGAAAAATCCCATTAATACATTTTTATATTGTAGATATACAAACAACAGCTATTTATAGTAAAATGACCAACAATGCTTTTCATATTTAGTTGAAACCATAAAATTTGTGTTCAAAATATTTAGATTTCAGCATTAAATAACCCATAGAGGTATCAATATGCCGCTAAACAAAATCAACCAAACCAATCGACTCATTTGATGGCAGTCATATAACAGCGTTTAAAAGCGTTGATCATTTTCCATCTTGTAGGAACGTTTGGAAAGACGTCTAAATGTTGCAAGATACAATGGCGAAAGTAAAAAAAAAAAGAAAAGAAATAAGCCTCTCTTCTTTAAATTACGCAGATATCTAGCACAGGAAATAGACTCCTGGTCGTTGATGGCGAATATTTCTGGATTTCGACATGGTCCTATATCCATTGCAAACTATGGGTTCTTAGTAGGCAGCAAATGTGGGATCGTTTAACATTTCGCAAAAAAAGATATAATATAGGGCCCGGGGTTGTCAGTCATGTGCCAGCGTTGAAATATATCGGGTGTAAAAGCAAAATTGTCCAGTGGTTAAATTAAGATTTGAACCGTTGTATCATAGAAATGATTAAAGATATTTTACTTGATATCTCCGAGGGTTTATAACACTATTGGGCTTTACTTTAAAAAAATAAAAATGTATAATTACTCTCTGAGCTTAACACAAGTGTCGTGAAGAAATCTATCATAAAAGAAAAAGTCATGTTCATCATGAATTAATCTTAGCTAAGGATAGCATGATCATGAAAGATTAAAAAAGTTCATATATATATATATATATATATATATATATATATATATATATATATATATATATATATTAAATTAAAAACAGACCACTTTAAGGTTCCATGTGATTTTATCCTCCTTAGGTTTACCCATACGGATTACCTAGTTTTTCATAAACTAAATATATATATATATATATATATATATATATATATATATATATATGAAAAGGCTTAAACACTAATATTCCATGGTCATAATTCATTCCATTGGAATCGTAAATACGATCCAATTCATCAGACCTACAAATTTGTAGGTCTGATGAATTGGATTGTGATTACTTCGGTCTGATGTATAGAGATGTAAGGTTTTATCTATATATTTTATGTGCACGCATGTGTATGTACGTAGGTATATATGTGTGTGTAAATGTATGTAGAAATGGATGTGTATGAATGTATGTGTATATATATGTATGTGTGTATATGTATGTGTATATATATATATATATATATATATATATATATATATATATATATATATATATATATATTGTTGGCTTCAAAAAAGCATTTGCGTAAATGTGCAAAACCTAATGTGGACCCGAATAATGTCACTGTAAACAAAACTGATCGGGTGTGCCAATTCTGTGGCAAAATTTGTCGCAGTTTGGCTGGCCTGAAGAGTCACCTGCGAATACATAGAATTTGGGGGGAGTGGGAGTGAGGGGGAGGACATGATATAAAGGAGGTGGTCACGCTCGAAATCGAGAGGACAGCCATGATATATATATATATATATATATATATATATATATATATATATATTAAGGCATTAAAAACTAGAAATGTTGTATTGCAGGCCATGATAAGTTTAAAATAAAACACACACAGTCGACCGGTTTCGTCCCCTCTCGTCAGAACTGTTAACGGGGAATTTAGATTATGAGGAAAAAGAAAAAAAAAGTCTGTCATGGGTGACATGAATGAATGGACAGGGAAGGAAGGAAAAATAAAATTATATCAACCAAGCTGCTAGAAGCGCAGAACAGCAAGTCCAAGCAAACAATCACTTTGTTTGCAAAGAGCAAGTTGCCTGGACCTGATGTAAAGCGATTCCAACACCTTGAGATGGAAAAGTGAGTGCGAACTGGCCAAGACGGAAAACCAGTTCACACTGAAATCCATCGCACAAGTTGGATTCTTTATAAAATGATCCGCAATGGAAGACCCATAAGTGTTACGAATGGTATCACCCAAAGAAAATTTTTTTTTTAGTATTATCGCAGGTACGTGTTGTTTAATTCTCGTCCAACCGCTGTGTCGTTCTACCTATGTAGTCGCATCCACAACTACATTTGAAATAGTAAATAACAGAGTTAATATGGTGGGGGTAGAACATCTTTACACATAGATGGAAGTACAGACCTAGTTTGAAAAACAACACGAACGTTCGCTGCAAAATAACACTCACGTGAACTACATGAAATACGCTTGGCGAAGGATTCAGTAATCCTACCCAACCACGGTAAACGAAGATAGACCGGACATTTACCAACTGAAGCAGGTTTGATTTTGTTGAACCTTGGGTCTCTCGATAACCGATTTTTTTTTCCTTCCCATTCCATTCATTCATCTCACCCACAACAGACTTTTTTTCAAGGTGTTTCCCAGATCATAACGCAACGGTTAACAGTTCTGACGAGAGGACAAAACCGGTCGACTGGTGTAGTCCTTAAAAAGTAAACTTATTCCTGCAATAAACAAGGAAGGTTTTTGCCTTACGCTTTTGAACATTTCAAACCTATTTAAATTATATATATATATATATATATATATATATATATATATATCCATATAATGTGTGAACACGTGTATGTATGGGTACCGTAAATATAAATCTTTTGTTGTTTGTGGTAAAAGGCATGTCTTCATGAACATAGAAAATATTTCCCAAAAAGATAAGATAATCGTTATATTTGTTTTTTTTTATATGTTTATATTTGATTTGAACCTGTAGTCGATAA